TATATATATATATATATCCAAGGTTGCTTAAGTATTATTCTTTTTTTTCCAAGTTTAAATGAGAATTTTGCATAAGTGGAGGGATCAAACGTGTCCAACTAAAAACAAGTTAAAACTCATGTTGAGTTCTTATATTGGAGTGAAAATCACTAAATATTCGTAAATCTTATGTGGCAAAAAACTGTAAGAACTCAAATTGAAAACTATTACGTATGAGTTAGAATTGATTTCGTGTAGTTAATAGTTATAAACCATTCATTAAATTAATGGTTTAGTTAATATTAATCATTCATAACGAGAGACTTGTGTTTTGTATTTGAAAATAAATAAGTGTATAATATTGTAACAATTCACTCAAGTTAAAGAGTGATAACAATCTTTAAAGAGTATTGTGAGAGATAAAGAATTCATTGAGAATTCTTCTATGTAGTTTTGTTCTTTTCTTACTAACAAAGATTCTTCTTAATGCCAACTATCTTTTATATAGTTATATTTCTATGTCAAATATGATTTTACCATAACAAATTAGTATCATAGCTATAACATTTGCAAAATTTTGACATTGAGAAATTTACTAGCAAAAATAACTTCAACATGTGGTGATGAAGATGCTTCCTCTCCTCACGAAACAAGAATGTGAGTTGGCGTTGGAAGGAGAAGCAAAGTTGTCAGGTGATCTTACATTTGCACAAAAAAATGTGATAATGAAAAAGACGCATAATGTGATATTGTTATCGTTAGGTGGTGAAGTTTTGGGAGAAGTCTCTAAAGAAAACACCATTGATAAGCTTTGGGAAAAACATGAAAGTCTGTATATGACAAAGACTCTTCATAATCATCTTTACTTGAAGAAATAATTACATACCATTCAAATGCATGAAGGTGAGTCCATTCATAAACATATCAATAATTTCAACCAAGTTGTTCTTTGTTTTAAAAAATATTGATGTTGTGGTTGATGACGAGGACCAAACCATTATTTTCCTTAGCTCTTTGCTAAGAGCTTATGAAAATATTGTAGACACAATAATTTTTTTGTAGAAGTTCACTATCGATGGAGAAAGTTAAATCGCCTTATAATCTTGGAAATTGAAAAGGCATATTATTGATTCATATAATGAGACTAGCTTAAATGAAGGTCTAATGGTAAGAGGAAGAATAGAGGAAAGAAAAAAGAGTTTCCAAAAAAGACAATTAAAATCACACAACAAAAATAAGAACAATAATAGATTTCATAACTGTTGGAGAGAAGGGCATTGGAAAAGAAATTGTTCAAAGCTAAAACAAGATAGAGCAAGTACTTCAGAGCATAGGGGAGCAATTGTGGCCTTGGAAGAATTGGATGGTGGAAATATTATCTTTGTCTCATCTAATGTAAATGATGATGATTGGATTCTTCATTTGGCATGTACCTTTCACATGACTTCTAACAAAGATTGGTTTGTCACATACAAAGAAATTGATGATGGCAAAATTCTAATGGGGAACAATGGTGCTTGTAGTATAGTTAGTAAAGGTACAATGCAAATTAGGGTAGTTGATGGTATTATGAGAACATTAATTGATGTGAGGTATGTTTTTGAACTCCAAAAAAATTTAATTTCTTTGAGTACTTAAAACTTTCTTGGTTTTCGTATCGAAGTTAAAGGAGGAGTTTTGAGGCTATCTAGAGGGACTTTGATAGTTATTAAAGGAAATTTGAAAAATGGACTATATATCTTACACGGTAGCATCATGGTAGGTGTAGTCGCAATTTCTTCTATTTTAGATCTTGACTAAACTCGTTTATAACAACATGAGGTGATATGTTGGTAAAGAAGATTATTACTTCTGATAATCTAGCAGACGTGATGACAAAAAACTCTTTCATCAAAGATGTTTAAACATTGTTTGGACTTGGTTAGAGTTACAAATATCATTTGACATTAGAAGTGGGTGGAACAACATATATAAAGGAATGATAAAAGCTATATGAATATGAAATTCAAGTCAAAGTGGAGATTTGTTACGTATGGCTTAGAATTGATTTCATATAGTTAATATTTATAAATCATTAATCAAATTAATGGTTTAGTTAATATTAACCATTCATAACAAGAGACTTGTGTTGTTTATATTTGGATATAAATAAGTATATAAGATTGTAATAATTCATTCAAGTAGAAGAGTGAAAGCAACTTTTAGAGAACATTGTGTGATATAAAAAATTCATTGGGAATTGTTTTTTTTAGTTTTGTTCTTTTTTTACTAACAAAGATTCTTCTTAGTGTTAACTATTTTTTGTATAGTTATGTTTCTAAGTCAAATATCATTTTACAAATAAAAAAAAAATTGCATTAGATATATTCTTGCAAATGACAGCTTGATTGTCCTTAGCGGGGATAATTGTCACATTTTTTTTCCGTATGAATGCATATATATAATAATTTAAATATTTTTTTAAAAGAAGTATTCTAAAATGTATATAGGGAGTAAACCGTACACATGTAAGTCTGTAAAAAAAATAAAAAAAAAATCATCACTTCCTTCTGTAGCTAAATCATCAGGGAAGTAGGAACTGATATATTTCCGTTGCTATCTGAATGATTTTCAATGTCTACCAGCAGAATGCATTACTATTTAACTGGAGGTATATTATTACCCAAGAAGAAAGATCAAAGCATATATTATACATATATAACCAAAAACATTGGAGTAGGACTTGGCTTATTTCTGGTCATCCCAAGCAGAAAACTAAGGTTAATTTAGAAGCAAAGAAATACAGATACATACAATAGAAGAACCAAAGTGTATATGACATGTATATATATAAGCTTAGGAAGAAATTGTTCATGGGCGTGAACCAGAGATCTTGCGTGGCGGTGCAGGGCGTCTTTCTGGCACATCCAAGTCACCACCTGAAGGAGGAGCTGGAGCACTGTCACAAAACAACTCATTTCATTATGCAGTGTAGTTTATACTATCAATCAATCAGATGTTATTATTAATATATATGATTTTTTATCTATCTATTATAAAAGTCAATTATTATAAAAAAATGATAGTAATAGTTTGTGATTGAATAATAATATTAAACAATGCATCATTACTAATTAAGTTGTGAGAAAAGTAATTACTTGGGAGCAACAGAGGGATTGATGAGAAGCAGCGCTAGGCAGAACAGGAGTTGAAGAAACCAAAGAATTTTCATGTTTGTATGTCTGAGAAGATGAGAAAATTAATGTATGGAGACAACACTTGCATGGAATGATGAACTTCTTGTGTTTATATATATAGCACAATATAACATATATATAAAAAATTTCGGGTGTTTCTAGAATGGTTTGACTCGATAATTACATCGATTCTAAGTAAATTAATTTTGATAAATTGATGACAACTTGTTAAGTTATTGATTGGATGTATCTTTTTCAATTTGAACTTATTCAATCGCTCTAAACTTTTAAATTTATTTATTTTATACTTTAGTGTTTAAATTTTTCTTCTATTTTTGTCCTTTCTATTCATTCACTTTTTGATCATATTACGTGTCTTTGGTCAAATGTAAAATTATAATTTCATACAAAATATTATTAATATAAAAAAATATTGCTTAGAATTGACTCATTTGTTGTTAATGAATTATACAAAACTTTTTTAATTTGTAGTAATCGAATAGAATTCAAAATCTTATATAAAAATATGATAATATGTATTATGTAAGACAAAAACTCAAAAAAAAAAATTATGATTTTTTTAAGCTTCATTCAGTAACTCGATCGAAATTATCCCAATCTAAATTGGGTTGATTTAATTAATTAACTAAACAATTTTAAAATAACGAGACTAATTCAATTCAATTAAATATAATAGTTAGTTTGAATTTTGTTATATACTAACTTGGGAACATCCTTAATAGTGTATATTATCACTTTAACGTGTTTGTTATTAAAATTATGTAATAAAATTATATAAAAAAAAAGTGTTAAAAACTCTTTAGCATACAATTGTTTTAACACATTATTTTTTTTTGTTACAATTTATTAAAAATTACAAAATTATTATTTTCAATCAATTTAGTTAATAATAAAAAAAGCAGGTGATTAAAGCGTATTAGAAAACAAATTTCTAACATTTCTTAGTATTTACAACACGTGATTGAGAACCTCAATACACACTTTCTACACAGCTAAGTTTCAAATTTCAATGCAATAAGATTGTGAAATGAGAAAGCAAGTAGAACACTTAAGCGTGTTTGAATAAATTTTTCTATAAACTTTTACAAGAAAAATAAAATAAAATAAAGTTTTTTCACAAATTAACAATAAAATTTGAGAAAAACAAATTTTAATTTTTAATAAGTATTTTTCTAAAAACTTATCCAAATAAATTTTTTATTAGAACGTGTACATTTGTTATTCGATGTATTTGGCAGGTTTTGGTTGGGTGAAGGAACGAGGCGTTAAAGTGGGGTTAAAGGTTTGAGTTTGGCTTCAAAATTCAAATGAATGGCAAGAGTCAAAGTCTTGTAATTACTAAACAAAGCACGTTATTATAAAAACATGATGATTGATGACTCATCGTTTTATTCCTTTCCTAATTTTATCGTGAGTGACGGGGCCATGACCAAGATCAGCACCCCTACCCTACGTTTGCCAAATCTTTCTATATATGCTCATTAATTAGTCTCACCCTTATTTTTTTTTTTTTTATCCATTAAGTATTCACGGTCAATAGTAGCGACTAATCTCTTTACCCTTATTAATGTTACTCTTTTGTGATTCAAAATCTGCTTAACCTTGTCCACTCATTCAATACAATAATGTTTAGAAGTCGAGTGAAATTATTTTATTGTAATTTACACATTTCAATCAATAAATCTCTAATCTAAGTAATATTAAATTTAATTTCATTAAACAAAGTCTTAAATTCAAGTTCTATGAATAAAAATAATAATATTTTATTAAAAATACTCAACTAAGGGGTTTGCATATATGTATGGAGTTTTATAGAATTTTGTAATATTGTTTATATATATATATGGATTTATAGATATTTTTAATATATATATATATATATATATATATATATATATATATATAATAGGTTTAAATTTTGCTATGTTTTTAATTTTATTTTTTTATACAAATCATAAATATTCTTCACATGATATAATTTTACTTGAACTAAATATAATTATTACGGGATAAAATATCCTTCAGAATTTTATAATATTGATTAAGCTGAAATTTTTTCATATTAATTAATACATGTACTCAATGATATATGCTTTTAAATTTATATATTCATAATTTAAATTTACGGTATTTTTTAGATAATTTTAGCCAATACTAACTTTTTTTTCTTTTGCATTTCAAAATATTGTCGATCAAACACAATGTTATATATCAATACAAAAACGCAATTAACAAATGTAGAACATAAAAAACTAGATATAGAAATTATATTCACAGTTCTTCCTTTGTTTTGGTTCTCACAAACAACTACATCAAAACTCCCTAACTTATTAGCAAGTTAAATGTGTAAACAAACACTTTCATTAGAAAGTCAATTTGAAAATTAATAGATGAAATTTAGGACTGTAATTTTCCGACCAAGACCTAATTTTGATAAAATCAAATATATCCTCCCAAGACATTTTCGATGAATTGGAAACAGTTCACTATCAACTACCTATCCTTTTGTATCAAACTAATTGCTAGGGAAAAGCCTCTGAATTGAAGAAAGTGCTTCTTACTTACGTAGGATAGTGCAAAAGATATCCCAAACCATCTTAATAATCCATTCACAATCTTGCGCGTCTCTTTTGCACTAAAAAAAGGTTTTTAGTGTTTATCCAATTCCTCATTGCATCCCTAACATGACCAATCTTCTTGATCTTTCTTTGCTAAATTTTAATTGCATATGGTGGGAACCCAATCAATTACCACTTAGCTAAAGCATTATCTCTAAAAGGTACCATGTTACTCAAGAGTAATTTTTTAAGATAAATTAATTGTTCTATTCATGAATTTTTTAGTGATATTGTAAGATGACTTTACAAAATGAACTTATCTTCTACTATTATTTATCTTTGATATTCTTCTTTAATAGAACATGTTTAATGTTTTAGCTAGGCCTTTTAAATTGTTTGTTTCCAAGTTTCACTTATCATTCTCTCTAGTGGCAAAGCTACGTTGGAATGGGAGAAGCAAATCCCTTATAAAGAAAAATAACTTGAGATTCTTGAGTGATAAAATTTCACTTTGAATTCTCTCGAACCTTCACTTTATAATAAAAATATATTATATTAATAAAATTCATTGAATATATATATAATATGCCACCAACCCATTTATATCCACTTGTAGAATCCATGATTTATTTAATCCGAGACCTGCTAAAATTGAGAGGTCATGCGATCATAATTATTGTAAATATTGTTATAATTGATTTGTGTTGGCTAGACATTTTTTCACCCAAACCCATTTGAAACCACTCTATGCTTAAACTAAATCCAACCATTAAATTAAAAGTTTTTAATGCATATATCAAGTCTGTAAATTTTTAAAAATTTGAAAACTATTTAATACTTCATTTTTTTAATTCAAATTGACAGATAATCATAAAAGTATTTTATATATTGATTTAAATTTGTATAACAAAATGTCATATGGTTTTCAATTTTTTATTTATAAAATTTATAGATTTGATTTATGCATTAAGAACTTTTAATTTAACGGTTAAATTGTTGAAATTTGACATAAAAATTGGTTGTTAAGTGAAATAAGTATACCAAGAATTACTCTTAGGGTAAGTAAGTCTCTCCTTATATATATATGTGTGTATGTGTATGTGTATATATATGTATATATGAGTCATGATTTATTGATATCATATGTAAGTTTAAACACTTACACTAAATCTTATATTTTTAATAACTTTTTATATAATATAAACTTAAACGATCTAATTATTAAATCATACAATATTATATTTAAGATCATGTATATTATAGATTTCACATGATTTGAATTATTTTAGATATGTTATTTAAAAATGAATATTTACACATTTTAAATATCATATTATATGTTAAAATAAAATAATAGTAGTAAACTTTATATACATAATTTTAAGTATAATATTACATAATTTAATTATTAAATTAGTTAAATTTACATTATATAAAAAATTATTAAAAATATAAAACTTGATCTGTTTAAACTTATATTTAATGGCAACGAATCCTATACCTCTCTTTATTTATATA